CCTTCCATATTTTTCAATTGGAAAGATTATGTATTTCCGTCTACCACTTGAGGCTACTATATAATATTTAAAGAAACGATTATTATAAGAAAAATTAAAATACTTCATTTGGTACATAATTTCATTAATTCAAATTTTTAGAAGGGAATTGAAGAATAAGTCCTACATTAAGGGTTATAAACAAGTTAAAGGGTATATAAAAAAAATCCATGATTTCCAAATGCATGTGTATCTTTGCAGAAAACAAGTTAGTTCCACTAACTCATCCTCCCGTAATCTTGAATGAGGACCTACAAACATTGTGATAAATAACTAACAAGAAAGTGAATTAATAGATAACATAAATATTAAGAATAACATGTAATTACTTTTTCATATAACTACTTATATTCTACTTTTTAAGATTAATGATGAGCCATAATTAGTCCAACTGGTGTTAAAGCTTCCTAATTAACAAGTCCTAAGGAATGGAAACAAGAAGAAATGATGAAAAATATTAATAGTGAATGAAATCCTCCTTAATATTATCCTAACTTCTCGAAAACTATAAGAGTACTTACCTACTTCACAAGAATAATATATTTAATTAATTACATTTATATATACAACCATACAATTAATTAATTTCAAAGCATAATAACGCAACAATAAAATCATATTTTGTCTATTTATGTAAAAAAAATAGTTCATTTGATATTATATCTTCAAGCTTTAAATGAGAATTTAATTTTACCATTTTTCTTTTAATTATTACGTACAAATTTGGTGATTTAGGTGAAATAAATAAGGTAGACACAGTAGGGAGTTGATTTTTGCTCGCAATAACTTTTGATTTTTTTTTTAAATTGTTTAAAAATGTGATTTAAATCAAGTTTATTGAAAAAAATAGAAACAAAACGAATTTTAAAAATAAAAGACAATAATTGAATCAAAAGGGTTGAAGAAGAATAGCCAACAAATAACCCAATTCACTCTTAAATCTAAGAACTACGTCTATTTCTTACATTAGAAGGATTTTCACTAAATCACCAAACACTTGTACAAATATTTTTACTGCCTCTTATATAGACCATAACCCTTTCACAATTAAGTTCAAAAGAAGTATTGTTTACACTAAGTTTCTTTATAATTTCACGTTTAAACAAGATTGTTAATTAAAAAAAAGCCTCTCATGTAAGTGGGAAAAATAATTTACTCGTGAATGATCTTTGTAGATCTTACCTACAACAAACAATTATTTATAATTTCACGTTTAAACAAGATTTGTTAATTAAAAAAAGCCTCTCATGTAAGTGAGACAAAACAAAAACAACTTATGCGATGTAAAAGGAAGACAGAGGGAGAGAAAGAACATACAAGTGAAACAAACAGTTGTCCAAAAAGCTCCGAAGGCAGGATGTCCTCAAATGTATCTAGGATGTCCTCCCTACATATGAATATAAAATGCCATTCAAGTGATATGTCTTAAAGGGGAAAATCCAAGTTCATAAAAATGGATATTTAGACTTACACTGCCAAATCCTCATCATAGAGAGGTGCCTGTTTAACAGCTGGAACTGGTTTAGATGTTTCCCATAATTCACGCCACAAGTTACCTACCATCAACATGTATCGGAGAATTCAGCAAAGTTTCCTTATATGATACAAAAACCAACCAATGGCCTAACAATGCCCATGTTTCTTACAAAATATGTCATAAAGCAACAGTATCTTGTGAGAATATATAATACATGTTTCATTAGATCATTGTATATGAGATTAGATTTTTTTCTTTTAACACTCTCTTTCACTAAGGTACACATTCCAAGTTGGGCCTTTCAAACCACAAAAGTTCCTACACTAGCCTGCATTAAACAACTTCTACCATTATCATATATAATATGGATTTATGCATTTCTTCCACACACCTCAGTAAACTACAACTTCTATGACAATCCAAGTAAGTAAACAAATAAATTATTGGCATTATTAAAATATAGCAAAAGTTTTCACAACTAGTAATGAGACTATGGGCAAGACAAAACATGAGAGCACTAACGGCCAGTTAACATAGCCACACAAAATTGTGTTGGATGAAGAATCAAAGACTATGGGCAAGACATTAGTACTTAGCACACCTACCTTCTTTTTGCATTCGCAGACTTAGTTGACCTCTGGCAGACATTGACTCACCACCATAAAAAGAATCTCTATCCTTGGGACTTTCCTCACTTTCAGTCCAATCAGGAGGAGAGTACCATCTCACAAAATCTTCCAAAATGCAACCAGGATTCGCAGCCTAAAACATGAGCACAAACAGAACTTAGATAGAACATCACTACATTAGAGATGCATTCCAAAAGCATAAAGAATACAGTAAGAAAAGTTCTCTTCAAGGAAAAGTCTGACCTTGAAAGCCTGCATATCAGAGAGCAGTTGAGAGCACCCAGCACCAAGACTGACCATACAAGGTAAAGAAAATAATCAAGAAACTGTGGATATTTGGTACTTGATGCCTACCCAAAAATAACTACAAGTCTAGAACCTATTAGATCATAAATGCAGATATGCAGTGAACTGAAACTGTCATTTGCATATCAGACATGGGAGATACAAATACATAGTCATCAATACATTGCAAAAATAAAATTTAGAGAATATATGCAGTTGATCAACTAGTCCATCAACATAAATCTAGAAATTGAAGAAAGAAAAAGGGAGGGGGGGGGAGGCGTGGAAATCAAAATAAGACATCCACACCAATTAGTGCCTGTTTGAAAAAGATTCATTATCTCAGATAGTTTACATACCTCCCTGTCCGCAGCACAAACTCCTCTGTCTCTTTGATCAGATCTTCTGTAAGCAAGGGTCCCTCCTACATGAAAATGCCACGAATATGGCATATCAAGTACTGAAGCAAGTTCTAATAATTGTATAGTACAAAATTACAAATAGCTATCAAACCTGAGTTACAGGAGAGTATGTAGGCTCGCCAGTTTCCAGTAACATCAGATCTCCGGATGGGCAATCAGCACCAAGCCGGAGAACAAGCTCTCCAGTCCTTAATCTTGCATATAATAAAGGGCCTGCAGGAATTTTGTCTCTGTAATTTGTTGATTCTAGCGTATTTGAATTGGCTTCCATCACCATAGAGTCTAGAGATTCAGTGGCAATAATATGCCGCCTTTTCCGAGAGATGCAACAATTAATTACTTGAAATTGTTGAAACAGAAGACATGACTTCAGATCTGGAAAGTCATCTGGGGGGACTCCAGGTAAATATTTTTCTTCAGACCAATGTTTTCTCAGCTGTATAAGTAAAATAATTCAAAGCACACTTAGTTAGCTGGTAATTAAGAAAGAAAATAATGAATTGACATTACTGTATCCTACTTCAGTTCAGGTTACAAATTCTAGAATAGAAATTCATGTAGGATTTCTTTCCATGGATGAGTAAATGTAAAAAGGAGTCTAAAAGTACCCAATAATACAGCATGAGTAGTTTACAGCTTTTCTTTCCTTTTCTTTTCTATTTTTTTTTAATTATTTGCTAAAGGAAGGGAGTAGTTGGAACTTGGAAGGAGACTTATTAACCAGAGTAAAAAATCATATGATAACAAGGGGGATAAAAATATTAAACTGAATAAGATAGTAAAATCCATCTACAACCATCAAACTAACATTGTAGAAACCAGAAAGTGATCTAGAGATTAAATAAAATATAAACTTCTAGGTTCTTAATATAAAAGAATATATAGTAAATAAACTATAATTCTTATCAAGTAAAACATACTTCAGCAACAACACTGCACCAAAAAAGAGCCATTTCTCGAAGCGTCTTGAAGTTTCCAATTATTTCAGCTAGCTTAACAACTAGGCTTTCAGGAGGAGCACCATGAATATCTCTTGGCAAATATGATATGGAAGTTTCCTCTGGATCAGAGTTGGTCTTCCTTCTAAGGAACTGTCCCTCTGCAAATATCTTTCAACGATTACAAAGGATGTGGAAGTTCGTCATAGAATAAAGTGCTCTAAATATAAAAGTATAATGTTCATTGATGTAAATATATCATCAACTAGTAACCTAAACTTCATATACCTGGATCAAACAATGAATTAATCAAATACACCACTTTTTCATTGCTACTAAAATCAGAGGTAAGTTTGTCCTCTTTTTCACGCAACACTAAAGCCTTCACAGCAGAGAGACTTAAACCTGCCCTGTCTCTGGCAGGTGACGAACCTCCTGATGAAGCTACCAAATCTTTCATTGAGTTTGTTTTCCTTCCAACCCTAGTGAAAAGGCCCAAAAGTTTTAGAGGCTAGTTTTATTGTTATTCACTAAGCTGAAAATCTTTCTAAATAACAGGAACAAGACTCATAAATATTTACATTTTAAACTACTCTAGCTTTAGCTATTGTCAAGATAATTTGGACAGTTATTACTGTTGGATTTTAAAAAATGCAATAAGCAACTGAGAGTGAGAAACAGGCCTTTCAGTTGTCATAATTTGATTAACAGAATCTTGCCATATTCAACAAAAAAGAAACTTAAACAATTCATGGAATTGACAGGAAAAAGGCAAGCATAACTTACTCAAAAGCCATAGCCAACTGCTTCAGGACAGACGATGGAGGAATGGGATGTTCAGTCACAGCAGTTAAGCCTTCAAGCGAATGAATTGCTTCTGAAGCCTAAATTAATGTTTTTTATCACACGTCATTGAAGCAATCAATTTGTGAATTTGAAACTGAAAAATATGTTCAATTTACTGGAAAGATTTCTCAGGCAGTTAACCATGAGATAAGCATGCAGTACTAACTCATCAGAAGCATAAAATGCATGCATTGAATATTTTCCTATCTTATGAATGATGACAGGGACAAAGTCTGAAAGATAATGTGTTGAAAACAAAATGTTAGTAGCTGGCACTTGGCATACATTATCAGATGGAACAGAGTCCATATTTATAATTCCAGATCTTCTTACCTTGGCATCAAGATCATTTTTCACATTGAGAATGTACAAATTTTCATCATCAAATGGAACAGAGTCCATATTTATAATGCCAACTTTATCTGTTACTTTGACTTCTTTTCTCCCTTTTCGCATGTTGTTAATTCTATCTTGCCAGTCCTGCTTTATTCCTATATGCGGAGGTCTCCACTTTATATGCTTCAGTTCATTGAGGAACTGCATCATCCCATTACAAAAATACAAATCAGATATGCAAGTAATTACAGTCATCCAAGGACAAATATTGCCTATTGAGTACCCAAACATAACACAAAAAAATAAGTGATCTTGTGCTGATCTTGTTTGGGCAAAGAGACATTATGGACTATAAGCAACTGTTTGGTACAAGACAAAACTGATCTTATTGATCACAAATAATTACAAAATCGCCACCTTATTTCCATTCTATTTCCTATTTTCAAAATCTTGCATAAGAAATAAGTTAAAAATTTTACAGTAGGGATGTAACGTACAAATAACACACATCAACGCTTAATAACCTAGTGCACGTTGTATATTTGGACTAGATTATTTTTCAGCCAAAAAATAACACAGCATTTCAACCAACAAACTATCTCTAAAATAAGAAAATTCAAACAGACACTGCAATCTAAATTCTCATTTCCACACTTGAGCTTCAATCAAAAGCAAACAAATGTACTTCCATTTCATAATTTGAAAAAAGAAAATTCCAATAGTCACTCTTATGAAGTGAAGTTAGATCTACCTCAACCTTACAATACCAACTTATAAGGTGAAAATCATTCTCCATTTATATACTCTATTTTTTTTTTTTCATATCACTCGTTAATGTGGGATAAAATAGTTTGCATGACCGGATATTTACGAGTGATCGATAATGACTTGCATGCAACACAATAAAGCACAACATCAATTGTGAAGATAGGCTCAGGCTGTAATAATATCTTAAAAAGTGGATTTAAACTTAACTCAACCTTATAAATCTGACATATAAGGTAAAAATTATTTACCATTTATATACTCTATTTTTGTTATGTCACTTTGTCAATGTGGAATCTCCAACAATCGCATAAACGAATAAATCATTAGCATAATCCCATAATCTCATCCAGTGAATGCAAACACACAAATTATATTAAAAAACACATCCACTATATCTTTTTCAACAACAAAAAAAAACCAATTAACCAAAAAATCCACACACTAGAAGCAAATGGATGCATCTTCAAACCTTTGACTCGTTCTCACTCCGAGCAGATTCATCTCCGCGCCGCCTCCCGCAATCGTCGTGCAATTGCTTCTCAGAATCTCCACCGATCAAAAAACCGCGTCAATGCTTTCTCCCAAAAAATTTAAAAAAAATAATAATCGAAAATTCCGAAACAGAAAGAAAGCAACGAACCGCATTTCACACAGAGCGAGAACGAAAGAGAAAGGAACAAAAACGCGCACTCACCTCGATCGATTTTGAATTCGTGGAGAACACGCTCGGCTTTGGCAGCAGCGGAATGGAAGGCGGTTCGCGCTTTGGAGACGAAGGAAGTGGCGTGAGCATCCATATCCTGCGCCGGGGGTGCGCACGTTAAGAGAGAAGGCGACACAAGACACTTTTATTCTCAGATAACAGAAGAAGAAGAAGAGGCATAGATGGATATAGAGTGTGTGTGTGTGTGCGTGTAAGTATTTGTAGTGTGAATTGAGAGAGAAAGAGAAGGAGTCCAAGTCCAACTCAGTGAAAATGAAGGAGAAGAAGGAGACCAAGTACAAGAATGAGAAGAAAGTGGTGGTGAATGGTGATGCTCATGACCAGGTTGGTGCTCATGCTGCTTCAAAACTTTATTTTTACTTTTCTGGAAAATAATATCAAAATTATTGTTTTAAATGAAATATCCAAATCCATTCAATTTAATTATAATTTATAACTCCTATTTTTATTATATTTAACATTTATTTTAAATTGTCAGATTATTTTCACCTTTCACAAAAAGAAAAAAAAATTATTTCAATTATGGATTTTTTGTAATTAATTTAAAAATAAAGATAAAAATATAACTTGAGGTAATTAAACTAGAGGTTTCTTTTTCAGCAGTCAAAAAAAAAACTTGAGGTTTTTTTATCTAAGTATGAAAATTGAGAACATTGTGTGAAATACACGTTAAAAAAAAGAATATAATATTATATATATATATAATAGTGAATGTATAATTAAAAAAAATTAAATATGCATTTAAATTTTATATAATAAGTATATTTTTATTTTTATTTTTCTAAAAAACAACTATTTGAGGGGATAAAAAAAATTATTTGTTCATCCTTTAAAATTAGTAAATATTATTTTAGTCATTTTAAAATATTCTTGATTTTTATTATGATTTTAAGATAAATAAATAATATTTATTTTTTGACAAACATTAATATAATATTATTAACAATTTTAGGTAACACGTAATATAACCACTTAATTTTTATTTATAAACAAAAAAATAATTAAAAATAATTATATAATAATAATGACTAAAATAATAATTCTAAATTTTAAAGACATGAAAAGTATAAAAAAAAACTATTATACAGAAATTAAAAACAAAATTTACTCATCTTTTATAGGGAATAAAAAATAATTACATATTAAAAAAGTTAAAAAGTAAGTATTATGTTTTGTACATTTTCTCTTACATAATGTAAAATATAATTATTTTTATATAAATAAATTATTTAAATATATAAATTATATTTTAGATTTAAAATAAATAATAGTGAGAAAAATAATTTACTCATGAATGATCTTTGTAGATCTTACCTACAACAAACAATTATAAGTACAAATATTAAAATTTGATTAATGGAGAGATTTTATTGATAAGAATGTTTCTAGATAAGAAAAATAAAGATTTCAGAATCATTTTATTTAAAGAGATATTATCTTATGTATTTATCTATTAGATTTTTAATTTAATTAATTTGAATTATGCTGATAATGAGAGTCATTGATAAAAGAATATTTTCTAGTTTAATCATTATAGATAATTGTTTGAATTTCAAGAGAGGAATAATTGATAGCGTATATCAGACTTTTACTAACATGTTACATATGCGATAGGGTTTGGTATTTCCTTATATAAATACATTAGTAAGGCTAGGGTTATCTCACATTACTCATTATCGTGTGCTCTTGTGATCTAACGAGGAGGGAGAGCCAGAGGCAACTAGAGACAATCTCAGAGATTCGCACCCAACATTTGACATCCATCAAGGTAAGGAATCGTGAGTAATCTCATTTTAGGTGTAGGATAATTGTTGGATACTGAGATTGAGTCTCAATCTCTTTTCTGCTGTATGATGAAACGAAGGAAAAATCTCAAATTGTGATTTGTACTATATTTTTGTCTTCCATGTGATTTTTTAGTACTCTAATTAATGTCTTGAAAGTACATGTATGTTTACTTTTGAGTATCAAACTAATTTTATGAATCTTGGATTGTTCGTGGGTTCCAATGGAGAGAATGCATTTTTGGTGATAGAATGAGAAGTTGATGAGTATGTAATTATATGCATTATATGTGATGTTTGAATTATATGTATAATTAATTTCATATAATTTGAATTGTTTGGGAATCTGTAGTTTCTATAGGAAACCATTGATTTATAGAGTAAGGCGAAGATTGATGTTAATTGTATGAAAAATTGAAATTAATGTTGAAATTGAGTAATTGATAGTATAATATAGTAATTTTAGTCCTTAATATATGTTTTTACCAATTGGATTAAGAGTAGTGAGTTTGGGTGTGAGTTGTGCTTTGATCTAAAAATTCTAATATGAACATACTTTGGTATTTGTGTAATTTATATGTAAGATTAATCAAATTGAGTTCCAATTATTAAGTTAGAAAGTATACATTTGGAGAGATAGTTTAGACTCAAAAATTACAAAAAAAAAATGTTAAAGATTAATAGAGTTATGTGAGTTACAAGATGAATTACCTATTGTTCTGTGTGTAAAATGTAACTTGCGTATGTTATAAGCATTGTAAGAAGACTCAAATGACCAAATTAGGTTTTGTAACTTTCATGATAATTTTAGCCTTTGATGTTAGCCTTACAATTCTGTTAAAATCACCCAAAAAGGAAACAATGATGATGTTTGTACATGAGATTTACAAGAAGATGCTATGTTAAAAGAATGAGATGAATATGAGTTGAATCCATGAGATAAAGTGCCACACAAAATCTTGTACATGAAGTATACATGATGAGAGTCTTTGTGCTATAGTTATTGGTTTAGGAGGTGTGTGGAGTAGAGTGTGTCGAGGAATATGAATAATTTGATACCATATTCATATAAATCAAACTTGACGTAATATATAAATGTTTTAAAATATATTAAAATATAAATGATTTGAATATTTTTAATTATTCAATTTTAATAAGATTTAGCATAAATTTAATCAACAATTAAATTGATAAATCACAAAATTCTTTTTTAATATAAAATTATTAAATGATATAATAGTTGATAAAAGTTATATCAATATTATTTAATTATATATATATATATATATATATA